TAGAAGAATTGCAAAAAACAGATTTTTTTTTTCTCATCTGATAACTTGCTCTAGATGTAATTAAAGGGCCTTACGTATTTATTAAAGTTTTTAAAGTGGAAATGGTACAAGGAAGGGAGGATGCTATTTTTAAGCAAAATGAGAGAGAAAAAGGTTATAAGCCTGGAGAAGACAGCTGAATATTAAACTGACAGAGAAAGAGGGGAAAAAACAAAAACTTAAGATTGTCAGAAAGATTTAGGTGTGTTGTCCAAAAAGAGGCTAGAGACATTACTACTACAGCACTGTGCAAGCTCTGTGACTTGTCACCACAGCTTCTTACAATTAAAGGGAGCTTGGAGGTAATGACAGATTTTTTCCCCTCCATCCATTTCTTTATAATCTGGTGGGGGGGGGGGGGGAAATCACACAATAACGACTTTTACTTAAACTGAGTTTACATGATGCTCCACATGACTGTAAACTGTCCAAATGCACTCATCTCTGCATAGACAGAAAGCAGAAAGCTTAATACCATTTACTTCCCACAAGTATATTGTGTAAAGTGATTCTGTACAGTTAGTAAGAGCAAGTTTAGGGCTAAATGATGGGAAGGCCATATTATGCACTAAATAACTGTGTTACTACGAAGTTCTATAGACATTAACCAAGGACTTGAGGTAGCACAGGCTATTGCAGTGGTATTGCATTCCATCTGTGAGTCAATAAAACAAATACAAAATGTTTTAAATTCCACAGTTTGCACACTTTCCTTTTACAGTCTGCAGAAAATTTACAAGAAATGGTAAAGAAAACCACCAGGTGTCAGTTGTGGCTAGTTGGCAACTGAACTGTTGTTGTGGTCTGTTTTTACTTCTTTGTGTCTTCCATATTTAGCATATGTAACAATACTTGCTCAGTCATAGAAATTTCCAACCAGCTTTCTTTGAATGAGGAAATAACTTTAAGGAAAGAATTTCTGGGTTTCACATTAAATTCAGCCATGGTATATATGAGGACTGGGGGCTATATCCATACAAGTATATTAAATGTGCCTGGGACCATTCCTTAGCACTGAGGACAATTAGCACAAGATACTATACATACATGCCATTAGCTATCCCAGAATGGAAAATTAGATGGCTAGATGCAAAGTGTCTGGTAAGAACAGTCACTCAGCCATGCTGACTCTAGACTGGTGCCGGTTTGGGAAAGTGCTAGCTAGTTGGGCTGCAGCATTTCCAGGCACAGGTGTAGCAGCTTCCCAACACACGGTTTCCAGCCTGGGATCTGTTTTATTTCCTAGTGCAAGCAGGTGCAGAGTTGCGCTCCCCACTTGCACCCTGTCTTCCAACTGTCATTAAGGGAGACAGTGTAAACACTTTTTCTTACTTTGTAACATAGTGACTCAGACAGAGGTGTGGCTGATGATGGCATTCCATTGAACAGAAATCTGCCTCTCACCGAGTAAAAATTGCAGCAGAATCTAGGTGTTTTTTGTCAAGTGAGCTGGGTTAGTGTATGGCTCCTAAAACTTGCAGTGCTAATCCTAAAATTATTAAACCCTTCTGTAGAACCTGACCTTTCATAGCACTTAAACTTTGTGTTTTTTTCGAGTACATAAAACTCCAGAAAAGAGTACTCTTATTTAAAACAAGTGCCTCTTTTGATGATGGCCTGGAAGGCATATGCATAGAAGGGCAGAGTGTGGCTTGCAGTGGGATTCTTAATTTAAACTTTTATTCGCAGAAGGAAATCACAATTTTAGCAAACCTTTAAAGTGTGTTATTCTACTGAGTTATAAATGAAACAGTATAATAAAGGGCTGCTTCTGTTATACAGAAAGTAACTGAATAACTTAGATGCTTTTTTAAGTTCTGAGCATTCATGTAGCATAAACTATTTAATTATAATAATATTTTTTACCCCCTTTGAAGTCATTGGTAAAACATTCCTGCAAGATTTGAAAGAGAAAAATAAAGGGTTTGAATTTTTAGCAGAGAAGGCTCTTATTAATTTTCTCTCACTACAATAATTGTAAAAATACAATTCTGTTTCATCTTTAATGCAAGACAGAGAAGTGAAAAGTGAATTTTCTGCCTTAGAAAAGAGATTACCAATAATGAAATTACTGTCTTCTTGTAAGTATCAATTTGCTGTTTAGTAATGCTGACACACTGTTTCAGACTTCTATGATGTACCGTACCAGAGGGGAGCAGATATGACTGCCATTTGAATTTCTGCTGCAACTCATCATATTATAGTACATGAAATGCAGGTGAAAAGCTTCATGTAGGCAGGTGACATGACACTAATAACACAGCATTTACCCAAATCTACTTGCTTTGAAAAACTCATTAATTCATACCTGATACCTAAAAGAATGATCTCTGGTTTGGTCTGTGAAGAACCCCTTTACTTCTTGCCTTCTGCCAAAATCTTACCAAATGCTACTGCGCTTCTCCTGCTAGATGTAGAAGGAGTTTTAAGGGATGAAGATGCCACGAGAAGACACCATACTGTCCTTCTCTAAGTCCTCTATTTTTAAAGGGAGCAAAGAGGTTGTGGAGGACCTTCTGAGGTAAAATTAAGGGACAGCTCAAGGTCTCCAGTACATACCCTAGAGGATGTCATATACCGTAAGTTCTCCTCTAGGGTCTGTCAGTTGCCATTCTGAATTTTGACTCTATGGACAACGAGAGCTCAGTGGGATGTGGAAATGTGTCAGTGGAACAAACTCTTCTCCTTTAAATTCTCTTCACATTCCTATATCACATCTGAAAGAAGCTATATATTAATAGAGTCTCAGAGATACTCATCAGCACTTCTTCTCTGAGGCAGAAGCATCAGCGAGGAGATTCATATTCTCCAGAGCCCAGGATGATCCCATGAGGCTAGAAAAGACATGATCTGAACGGAGAAAAAAACCCATCATGCGTAAGAAATATTTAGAAGCTTTCTGAAGAGAAAAATCATCCTTCATATTGGGTCATAACAAGTTAAGAAAAATACCACTTTTATTATTGTTCTTTTCAAAGCAGTCTTTACAGATGCCTTCAATATAGTTTTCTTCACAATTATTTTATCATTCACATATTATTCTCATTTTTTCCTGTTAGTTATCAGCCACATCAGATTTTTTTTTGGTTCATGGCTCTTCCATTACCTTTCCGAGCCCAAACCATCAGCAAAAAAAAATGTGTTAAAGTCTTTTGCTAGACTTCAGCTAAGTCTTCAGTGCCACAAGCTACGCAGTTTTTTGCAACACTTTAAATGTTGAACCCAAACAAGCAGAAGTTTCCCTGAAATACTTCATAGTTTGCTGTTTATAATGGAAAATGAGCCTCTGCATGACCTCTGCAGTACTTTTCAGTCCTTCCCAAATAATTATTTTAGAAGAAATTTAGGTACTTGATGAAATGACATTTTGGTATCTTATACATTATAACTGTGCAAGGAGAGCATAGAAATGGTTTTAGAAATCATATCAGCATTATAAACATATGTGGATGTAAAAGAAAAGCTAATTGTTTTTTATTGTTTTTTATTATCAAAACACATTCCTTTTTAAAATTAAAATGGCACAAGCTGTAACCTTTAGATCAGAAGTATCCACACTAAGTTCTTAAAAAGGGAAGGGGTGTACAGATATGATCCTCCTTACAAAACTGAGGAGAGTAAAATACTTTATTATGCCATACTAAGCTATTGTTCTAGATTACAACAAAACTTCAGAACACAGAACCGGCAGGAGTGGCATGGTATGTTATTTACTGACTACTCTGACATCGAAGGCAGATAGGCCAACTTCATCCCAATAGACATTTTATGCTGCTTTGTCAGTAAGTATGGCTTCATGATTTTGGATGAAATGAGCTACCAAGTCCCATAGAGGCTCAGAGATCTTTTCTACAGAAACACCTATTCTTTCTATTTTTTTTTTCTTAAGTTCTACTAGAGAACAAAAGCAGACCAGTACTTACCCCTTGAGATGTCACTATTCTATTTACAATTCTAGTTTAATCCAGAACTAGGTTGTGTTTTCTTTTATTATTAGCACAACATCTTTTTCTTTTGTTTGCATATGTTTAGAGTCACAATAATGCACTGACTGCAGTTGCATACACTGCAGTCAGTGAAATACATCGGGGTATGTGCTTCTGAATCAGAGAGCTACTACGTCTGAAATGTTCCAACTTCTACAAGCTGTCAAGTCCTTTAATAGCACATGTTTTTAAATATTTTGAGCTAATGTACTAAGTGATTATGAAAAAAATCCCTTGGCATCTTCTCTAAATAATGTAGCTGTTGTGTGAGAAAATGGGGCATTTCTGGTAGGGAAAGTAGAGACAGTCTGAACAATTAAATCTAGCACCCTGAAACATGAAACTGTTTAAATGAACAGAAGAAAAGTAACAGATAGACGTAAAGGTGTACAATTTGGTCTAAGCTTAAAAATGCTAATTCTGTTCAAATAAATGTGCCAGTAAACCAGCTCCTAGCTTTAACAATACCCATGGAGTGGAAACAGATTTCAGAAAGCATAGCCTTATCACTAAATGTAGATAGATGACCTCTCTATTTACCATTATTTCTTCCACTGATTCCCCAAACAGCCTGAGGAAACTGCATTTACCAAGATCTCCTCAGATAGCTTTTGCAAGTAGAGCACTATCCATCAGTATCAGAATCACAGTCCTCTCTTTCATATCATATTTTGAGCACATCCTGTAATCTGACCTCTCACAGACACCAGCCAAGTGGAAACGACAGTGAGTGACAGTAACAGACCAAATAAGATGGCTGCCAGGAGTGCAGAGAGACCCAGGGACTTCAATCAACTGAACCACAAACCCATTAAGTGGTTTAATTTTGTGTATCCAACTGTGGGGCAATGTTTACAGCAGGTGAGAGAAATATATGCAGAAAAAAAAAAAAAAAAAAGGAAATAAAAAATAAAGCATGTATAGGAATAAACTGTTTGAGAATTACTCTGAGGAGAAATTAATCTTAAGTTTGTGGAAGGTGCTACGAACTTTACATGCACATGGAATAATAAACTGTTCCATGATATGACTGTACATTTAAAAAAAGGATTAATAAATTAAATTAGTTTTAACTGGTAATGCAGAAAAGTAAAAAGCCACCATGTTCCATGAAGACAGGCTAGCCAACTTGATTTTTGTTTTTTAGTTGTTTTCCTTCTGGCTGGCACGGCAGTGGCTGAAATGCAGAAAGCATGTATTTTAACTTGAATTAAAGGTACAGTTGCATTGACATACATTTACAGCCTTGCATCTCAAATGATATCTCAAAACCAGTGTAAAAAGAAATATGGCACAATACCATACGTATACTTTTAGATATTGTAAAACTATTTTTGATTTCATCTTCTCTATCAAAGGCTAGTTTCCTCATTTTGTATTAGTTATTTCAAATGCTGTTAAATCTAGTTAACTCCTAAATGCCAGGATATGCCTACACTGTGCTTTCTGAGCACCTCATAATGAGATGAGGTGAAGATCTATTGCCCCCCACTTTGTTGCACCAATAGCATGGTTTTGATATATGGTGAACTTGGGCAATAACTCATGACATAATAAGCTGATAAATATAAATCATGAATAAGCACTATTTATCTAATTGCAGCTGGAAAAAAAAGTTTATAAAACATGCATAGGAATTACAAAAGTTGTCTTACTGTTGTTGGTGTTTTGGTGGGTTTGGTTTTTTTTTTGTTTGTTTGGCTTTTTTTTGTTTTTTCTTTTACTGTATTGGATCTGCTTAGGAAGCAATATTTTCTTGTTTAACTAATACCAGCCAGATGTGCCTTGTTGAAAAGTCAGAAAGTTACTCGTTTATAATTCTTCTGGTTATAAGAAAACCCAGATCAAATACACCTGTGGGGTAGCTGTAATGCAGCTGACAGGACTCTACAGAGCACTCCAGACAACTGTTTTAAGGCCACTCATTAGATGAAGTTTGAATAAAGCCTCTGAAGAGCTGCGCAACTGTGTGATCACACTATGCAATATGTGCTTTTTCTAATAAGCAGCCCCTTCCTCCCAATGCCAACTCATGACTATGTTAGATCACTGAATTTGCTCTTCTGAATAATAAAGGTAGAAAACTTTGTCCAAGAATCTTTGCCTTTAGCCAAGAAACTTGCAGTGAATTGAGTTGTTTCTAGTTTTTTCTTTTAAAATTGTCTCATTCTTGAAGGAGTATTAATTTTTAGCAATCGGTTGAAAAATCCAACCCCTATAGGAAAACTATTTTGTTTTAAATTGATCAGATTCCAAACTCTCAGCAAACAGGCTCTCAGTCAGCCTTTGTTGCCTTTCGAAAGAAATTGCATGTCACTGTGACAACTCAAATGGCATTCTGTACTGCATTTTCATAATACGCCACTAAGTCAAAAGATGCATTTCTAATAGATGTATCTCCAGTGCTTTGAATGCAGGCCAAAACCTGCATTCAAGACCTGCTGGGTAGATTGAACTCAATTTAAGAATCTGCTGCATGGATATTATTCTATGTTTACTCATAGGCTGGAGAATATGAAACTCTGTCTGGGGACAGGCGATCAGTTAACAGAGAGTCTGTGGGTCAAGGTTAAAGGGAGAACAGGTACGGGGGACATTACTGTGGGAATCTGTTACAGACCGCCAGAGCAAGAGGACTCTCTGGATGAAGCGCTCTACAGATAGATAGAAACAGCCTCATATATATATACATATATATACCTCCACAGAGAGAGAGAGATCATTCCTTAATGCATGGACCAATCCCTATAAACCTGCTGAGTCTATTCAGTCCATGATGTCGGGTTCCATCTCTTGTAACAGTCCTCCGGAGCACGAGAGGCTGTGTGCATTGTCCACACTTGTGAATAACCTGGGCAACAGTGTCCATTGCTAAGTCCACCCCTCGATCATGAGTCCATTTCTATGTTGCATCTCTGCTCTGATGGCCTGAAGTGCCATGGGCCCACCAGGCTCAAAATAATTCACCCTCCCCTTCAGCAGTTTCTGCAGCTTGTCACTGGGGACTCCATACAGCTGCTTTCCATCTCCGATGCTTCCAAAGCACTGGAGGGGCCCAGTGAACTAGATACTCACCCATACTGTCCCACACACCCTGCCACTCACGAGCCCTGTGGAAAATCTCCTAGTCTTCCTATATTGTCGTCTAATCCCAGACAAGACCCAAACCCGACTCTGCTTAACTCTCGAGATCAGACAAAATGGTCGTGAGTAAAACACACTCTGTGTGTGTGCCAACATGCTGATCCCCATCACAATCAGCAGGCAGGTCCCAAGGGTACCCAAAGGCCATTCAAAACCCTCAGAACTCTCAAACAATGCTGCTGTACTTGTCACTGGGGCTGGTGTAGCTGCTGTGCTTGCCGGCTCTCCCACCACCAGCTTCTCTTTTTCTGAGTCCAGATCTTCCTCCTCTGCCTTGCTGGGAAATGCTGCGTGGTCTCCTGCATCCTCCACTTGTTCTGGGTGCCTGAGGCTGGACCCAGCTGAGGCTCCCAAAGGTGGTATCTTGCTCTCTGCATCCTCCTGGGGCTCGGGCTCGCCGGGCTCCGCAGGCGGCTGCGGGGGAATGCTCTTGGCCACCGCAGGGCTGGGCTCGCCAGCAGGGCTTGGCTCCTCGGCCACCTCCTCCCACTGCTCAGCAGCCGCCTCCTTCCCGACCTCCGGCCCCACTCCCGCTGCTGTTTGGTCCCCAGGGCCGCTCTCCCGGGCCGCTTCGGCCACCACCGGCTGCTGGGGCCGCTCCCCCTTGGCTCCCCTCAGCCTCATGAAGATAGAGGCGAGGACGAGGGCCAGGACGGTGAAGAGCAGCCGGACGGCCAGATACAAGTCCACGGCCACGTCCGTCCCGCCCTGCTGCTGGAGCCCACCCGTATTAAAAGTAATTACCATAAAGTACAATGAGACAACAACCTTAGCCCAAGGCTCCCAGCCAATAAACACTAACACAGCAAATACCAGCTGCAAGTAAGGCACAACATGCTGAAACTGTGAGATCAAGAGCAACAAAATTGAGAGCCAATAAATCAGCATTGTGACAAGTGACAATCCGGTCAGATCTGTTGTTATCTCAACCCTTCGAGCCCCACATTGGGCACCAAAAAGAACTGTCGTGGTTTAAACCTGGTCAGCCATAAATCAGCCATGCAGTCTCTCTCTCACTCCCCCCGTTTTCTTCCCACCTCTCCAGAAGGGATGAGAAGGAGAATCGAAAGAAGGTAACTCCCACTGGTTGAGATAAGAACAGTTTAGTAACTAAGATATAACACAAATCGCTACTGCTACCACCAATAATAATGATAAAGGAAATAACAAGGGAAGAGAATATAATACCACTTGCCGACTGATAATACCCAGCCTGACCGAGCACCGACCAATACACTGTCCAACCCTGCAGTGTACTGGCCCTTCCGGCTAACTCCCAGTTACATCCTGGGCATGACGTGCTGTGGTATGGAATACTTCTTTGGTCAGTTTGGGTCAGGTGTCCTGTCTCTGCTTCCTCCTGGCTTCCCCTCCTCCCTGGCAGAGCATGAGGCTCACAAATTCCTTGGTCAGAATAAACATCTGAGCAGAAACTAAAAACATCGGTGTTATAAGCTCAGTTCCCAGACCAAAAGCCAAAAAACACAGTGCTGCTCCAGCTACTAAGAAGGAGAAAAAAGACTGCTACTGCTGAACCCAGGACAGGACAGGTCCTGAAGGAGCTGCAAATGAAGTTGCTAAGCCACTGTCCATCATATTTGAAAAATCATGGCAGTCAGGGGAAGTTCCCGATGACTGGAAAAAGGGAAATACAACCCCCATTTTAAAGATGGGGAAAATGGATGACTCGGGGAATTACAGACCAGTCAGTCTCACCTCTGTGCCTGGCAAAATCTTGGAGCAGATTCTCCTGGAAGGCAGGATGGCAGCATGCAAAGAGTTGTGGTCAATGGCTCAATGTCCAGCTGGAGACCAGTAACGAGTGGTGTCCCTCAGGGGATAGGTGTTGGGACCGGTCTTGTTCAACATCTTCATCGCTGACATGGACAGTGGGATTGAGAGCACCTTCAGCAAGTTTGCCAAAGAAACCAAGCTGTGTGGTTCAGTTGATACGCTGGAGGGAAGGAATGCCATCCAGAGGGACCCTGACACGCTTGTGAGGTGGGCTGATGCCAACCTCATGAAGTTTTAACCATGCCAAGCGCAAGGTCCTACACCTGGGTCAGAGCAGTCCCAGGCACAGCTACAGGTTGGGGAAAGAAGAGATTCAGAACAGCCCTGTGGAGAAGGACTTGGGGGTGTTGGTTGATGAGAAAATGAACATGAGCCGGCAGTGTGCGCTTGCAGCCTAGAAAGCCAACCGTATCCTGGGCTGCATCAAAAGGAGTGTGACCAGCAGGTCGAAGGAGGTGATCCTGCCCCTCTACTCTGCTCTCGTGAGACCTCACTTGGAGTATTGTATGCAATTCTGGTGTCCTCAACATAAAAAGGACATGGAACTGTTGGAACAAGTCCAGAGGAGGGCCACGAGGATGATCAGGGGACTGGAACACCTCCTGTATGAAGACAGGCTGAGAAAGTTGGGTCTGTTCAGCCTGGAGAAGAGAAGGCTGTGTGGAGACCTACTAGCAGCCTTCCAGTATCTGAAAGGGGCCTCTAAGGATTCTGGGGAGGGACTTTTCATTAGGGACTAAATTGATAGGAGAAGGGGTAGCGGGTTCAAACTTAAACAGGGGAAGTTTAGATTGGATATAAGGAGGAAATTCTTTCCTGTGAGGGTGGTGAGGCAGTGGAATTGGCTGCCCAGGGAAGCTGTGAATGCTCCATCCCTGGCAGTGTTCAAGGCCAGGCTGGACAAAGCCTTGGGTGACATGGTTTAGTGTGAGCTGTCCCTGCTCATGGCAGGGAGCTGGAACTAGACGATCTTAAGGACCTTTCCAACCCTAACTATTCTATGATTCTATGTCCGTTTAGAGACTTGAGATGAACACCAGAATATGTTTCCATGGATAAATATTCAAAATCAAGCAAGTTACTTGCAATTGGTGAATATTTATTCCATTCTTTGCATGCAGCCATGGGCAGACATACTGGTGCAGCAAAGCTTTTCAACCATCTTACTGCAATGCTAGTAATACTAAAAAGCAATTGAAGTTTCAATGACTCTTACAGCACTGTGGTTGTATCATGCAGTCCTGTACCTTGAAATGGGACATGAAGATCATAGACAGAAAGCATGCTGGGTTTTAGCTCAATCCTTGCCATGACCTCTTGCGCAAACACAATCAAAAAAGCATAAGAGGATAAAGGGATGTTTTTTCTCATGCATTCTAGCTGAACATGCTGCCTCATATATATTTTGATTTATCTGAGTATATGCAGCCACAGACACTCAAATATTTATTTCTCTTATCCTGACAGAAACTTTGCACTAGTCTAAAGGAAAGCTTTGTATTGCTCTAACCAAACAAAAAACGGAAAAAACTCTACCAAGATAAATTACAATTATTTTTTTTTCCCAAAAATCTTATGCAAGTTTGTTACACTTTTCCCAAGGAAAACATGGGAAGAACATTATGAAGGCTAAATCATGTAAGGCCAACAAAACTGCTCAGGCTTACAGCAAAAGAATTGCAACTGCTGCTGTTTTTCTTGCTTCTAGTACATTGCATACTGCCCTATTTCAATGAGCAATCTGAAGTGTATCATTACATGCAGAAATACTTCTGTTCATGGATTTTATTTCTTTTTCAAGACCACATTTGTCTGTGTGTATTTGCCTGTGTATTTTCCGTTTTGCAGAACTATAAATTAAGCCCTCAGAATGACCATTTACACTTTGATGCATACTAATCAATATAAACATGTCAGTATTATAATTCCTTCTGAAGTAATTAGCAATAATTAGCTGCATGTCAAAAAATATCAGCAATCATTTGAGTATATTACTTCTCAATCAAATGTATTTTTAATAAATGTTGATAGCATTTCAGACTCTAATTAACAGAACATCAGAACCCTGCTACCATTTTTGTGGATGTTATTCTAACATGTAAGGAAGGGGCTATATGCATCTTTATGGAAGAATATTGCTAACTGTGTCATTAATATTACAGTGCCTTGAATCAAAAATGCATTATCTTCACATAGCTGAATCATAAAAATTTGAACCAGAAATATAACAGCCAGTGAGGGAAATAAGAGATATAAACTACTTTATTAAAGTCTAAACCAGAATCAGAAAATAAGATTTTGTTTGCCCTTTTTTTCCTATATAACTTCTATAATACTACTGATTCTATGGCTCACAAATCATTGCCTAAAAGTATCTTCAAATTCGAGTTTTTGCAGATGGCTTTAAATCTTAGATCCAAGGTGGGCAATGGAGATGTACCTGGGTTAGGCTTCACAGGATATTTTTCCAGCCTGTGAATATTATCAATATAAAACCGAGAATTTGATCCTTCCCATGCTGTGGTTAGAGATGAAGCTTCATTAGAATTATGAATAAATGAGAAGTACAGTTATGAATGACTAAGCATGTACAGTTATTCTAGATTTATACTGGCTCTTAGTTAACTGGCTCTATACTTAACATGCTGTTAGCTAGTATTCTGAGTACACATCTAAAAATAAAGCACCTCTTCAACAAACAAGCAAGCACAATCAACTTTTTCAAAAATAAGAATTCTAAGAAAGAGAATCCTTTTCCAAGGATGGAAACACAACTATGGGGCAGGAGGCCACAGAAACTTCCTTTCCAATGTGGACTGCCTAGATCAGAGTAACCTACTATTCCCTTCCATCAATGTTTGTCAACAAGATGCTCTGAAGAAACAAGAGATTAGGAAGAGATTCCTGAGTCTGGAATCCATGCACTAAAAGGGACAGAGATGGTATAGGTTGAAGACGGGTCAACTTCAAGGTAAAAACATTGCCACCTTATGGCCTTGACAGCAAACTTTGTATGGAACTACACTGCTAAGAACACTTAAAGGGAGAGCTGGTAAAATGAAAACAAGAAATACATCCCAAGAGGCAGCTCAAGTCTCTTGTCACATTTAGCATTTTGAAGGTGAACTAAAAGGCCAGGTAAAAACAGGTAAAAACACATTTGATGCTCTAGAACAAGCAAATTATTTTGTACATGAGCATGCACTTTTCTCAGAACGTCCCCTCTCCCACACTCTTTTTGGTGCTTTCATGAAAGCAGAATGATCTGGGTTTTGACCATTGAGTCATGAAAGAACATTAGGTAATGAGACAAATCAGATAATAAATCCCCTTTCAGAAAAAAAAACAACAATGACTTAGCAGGTAAGCAGATTTGCAAGGCTTCTTCCTAAGATCATATTGTAATATTACTTTCAAAGCTGAATTATGGATTTTTGTTTACCTGTTATTATCTTTTTCTGCCAAAAGGGAATCTCCTGTGTTGTGGTTCTGTCTCTGAGGATACAACACTCTAGAGATTTAGATGGAGTTAAATGCTTTGTTGCCAGGTTTATCAGAAACTGCAAGAGAAAAATAACACACTATCCTCTAATTTCAACACTGATACAAAATGCCAGTGCTTCTCTTCAGGGATTTGCGATCAAAAACATGTCCATTAAGATGTGAAATCAGATCCTGGCAGCTAAACATGACCTTGGAATATAACTGGAAAGAGCTATACAGGTTCTGGAAGAAAAAGTATTTCTATAAATAAAAAACACACTTTTGCTGAAACATTTAAATATATTTTTTTTAAAGCAGATTCATGCTAAATGACTGACTTTTTAAAAGCACATTCTTGAACCCCTTCCTCATTCTTTTTCCATGTTTTGAATGGAAGCTTTGCTTAAATAGTGAGGCAAATTAAAAGAAACTATTTGGGAAAAAAAATAATTAAAAACATGTTTCTCATACCATAGTCATCCAGAAAAATGAGGAAAAAAAAAGTGTCAACTAGTTTTGTTGGTTTCTGTTTTGTTTCCTTTTTTTTGTTTTTCTTTCAAACATACCTCATGGACTTATTTGAAAGGCAGTAGTAATTCTTTAGAAAATAGACCAGTACAGCAATGTGAACAAAAAAGAGACCAGAATTCATACAGGTTATCATACTGTGTCAGGTTTTTTGCATATATCTTCCATATTCAATACCTGGCTTTCTGACTTGCAAACGAAAATATCTTAGGGCTTTAACTTGCATTTACTTAGCACACAGTTCTAATAGTTTAAAATGGCAATGCAGGAACTGTAAATTATTATTTTTCTCCCTTTCCTATGTCCTCATGTTTATAAAAATGGTAAAATGAAAAACATGTTCTCAGTACCATTTGAAGCACAGATTCTCATGTTAAGCAACCTGTCTCCTCGGCCAACAAAGAGAGTAGCAAGAATTGACACTTCTTTCCAGAAAAAAACATCTTCAGTATAGAACTTTTTCCCAGGGTATTGTCCAATTCTTGCTTCATTTCCTGCTGTTTATTAAAAAAAAAAAGAAGTCTATGTCTTCAAACCAAAAATTATAATATTTTATTAATGTAGTGATATATAATGCCTTCAATTTCTTAATAAAACAACTGAACGTCTTAACAACTGCTTCTCAGTGTAATTAATTGGTTGGATACATATCCCATCTGCATAGCATTAATGCTGCTATGCTCGTAATAGCTGTTTTGAAGCTTAGTCACTGCTTCTCACAGTTTTTGTTTCATAAAAACTTGAGCATCATTACACATTGATGTGCTGAGACGTTTAGAGCCAGTCCAGTCCTAGTTCAGCTGGAAAACCTGCTTTTCTCACTTACTGTCTTAATTTAGGAGAATAAATTGGATGAATCCATGCTTCAAAAAGTGGGAAGAGGAGCCCCTGTTATGTTGCTGAACTTGCACCGATTTTTTCTTTCATTCTTCTTAGCCCTATGCTGGAGATGACAAAAAGAAGAAACATCACTAATGAAGGGACCTCTGCAGACTGTTAACTGACATGACCAGTAAGCAAAAAAATGAACAGTGTGCTGGAAATGGTAACTAATGGCAGCTAAGCATGTCTCCACACTCAGGCAATGTTGTGTCAGGGATATATGAGCTCACTGCTGGAGAGAGGGCACATATCCACAATGAGGTGCAGTGCAGAGGTAGGGCTCTCTAAGGAACGAGGTTAAAGCTAGGTTAATTGTGCCTGCCTCTGAGAAGGACTAGCAAGTGTGGGTAGAGCATGAGACTAATATGGCTGTAATGCTTTCAGCTCAGGAGCTAATAGCTAAAGCTAACTCAAGGTATAACTGCACACTGCTGCGTTCACAGCCTTGTGATATTCTCACAGTCTCAACCTGCTTTTTCTGACTACGAACCCTTAAACTCAAAGCCAAAGGTCCGAGACACAGATCCTTCCCTGTGGATGAAAATGACAGAGACAGCATTAGAAACTTTCATCCCCTCCTCTTTCCCTCCCCACCTCTCTCTTGCACGCCAGTTCCATGTATTTGCTGTTTTCCTGTTGTGTACTTATGTACAGTGTAAGGAAATTATTCTGAATAGTCAGCAATTCATTATTTCCTACTAAACGTATCTAGGGAAGTAGAGATAGTGTTTAAGTTTCCACAATGATAATTTCAGACCAAAGCTCCACATCTGGATCAAGATATAGATTTGGTATTCCGCATAATTATTTCAGTGATATATAAGATATAATTTAAATATGGAGCCAAACAGCAACTTTTCTAACCTCTTCCCACAGACAAGATATGGATCCAAGAGAGAACCAAAGCGTTGCTGATTCCCTCTTGCTTCTGAACACTTTGCCTCTGAAACCAAAGTACTCAATGTGAAAAGGGGCAAATAGTGAGTGATCATTGGTGCAATACAGAATCTGCTGTTAGGATGCCTTTTCAGGGTTGTGACTCCCATTTTCTTTATTATATATTATATTCTAATGGATTTATCTTCAATGTATAGAGCATTTTGGTGCAGTGCATGGTAAATCACCACCAAGGAATTCTAATCAAACTTCCTTTGAACTCTTTCTGGAGCCAAGTGTTTATGCTTAATTATAAATTGCTACCCTCTTTCTTCCCATTTGAAATTCTCCAACTATTCTAATTAGGCTTCCCCAAGGGTCAGAGAACATCAACAATCTGGGAACAGTCTGTCTTTTTGACGTGCTTGGAAATCCACTGTTAGCACTATTTGAGGAAATCCAGCTGCCCTGGCTATCATAGAATAATTAATAATAATAGCTATGTAGTGATGACGGATCCAGGTTAATTGCATACTAATTAAAGGATATAGTAAAGCAAATGACTATTTCCATTTGAAATAATGGCTTGTGTCCACAGCAACTCAGAAATATTCCGTATCCTCTTGGCAAGATCTCAAATGGGAATTAAATTCATTTGAGGCATGTACACGTGATGAAGTCTAAGACGAGCTTTGACAAGCTGCCTGCATAGAGACAGCGACAGTCATTAATGAAAGAGTTTTATATAAGCTGAAGTTTTGAAAGAGTGAATGGAGAAGAGTGGCTGGCAGAGCTGGGAGTCAACCAAAAGATAATTAACAGGCAGTACAGAGTACAAGGAACTATTCAGCATGAAGAATCAGATCTTCAGTTAGAGGCAAACAGGGAAGGAGCCAGAAGGGGAGTCCTTCAGTTAGCTACTCCTGGATTCTTGGAAAGGAAATAAAGGAGCTTGTCAGTCAAAGGATGACTGACTGAAAATGTAGTGCTGGTCAGGCAAGAACTATACTAGAACTTGGTGCTGTTCAGAAAACTAGTTTGAGCCTTTACCTGAGGGGCTTTTTAGTGTGTTGTAAGTGAGATAAAGTGAAAGGGATAATAGGCGATTTCTGGGGAGGAAGAACATCTGATACATTGAGCAATCAAAAGCTAAACTGAACACTCTCAAGAACTTGTCATGTTAGTATATTTTGAGAAATATTAAATTTGTCCAAAAAGACAACTTGCAGTCAGGCACTACTAAGTACATAGCCTAATAGTAGGTTTCCATCCTGGATTTCTCCTGTGTCTGATTCTTACTAGAGTTTGGCTACATCCAAACTAGAGCCACTCCTTTGATGAGAGGCAACAAATGAATATAGGAACTGAAAGAAAAGAAGAAAGGATTGGTTTTGTATCTAGTGGTAAGATTCAAGTGTAGTTGAAATTTAAAAGTTTTTGGATCATATATGGTATTATTTAAAGACAAATTCAATACAGAAATACAGAATTTGAAATAAATTAACACAAGTAGTGAAATGAAATAGTGACCTAATTAAAAAAAGAAGTGTTATAATATTTACTTGTGCTCAGTTTTAGCCTACAACCTCTATTGACATGCCTAAAGGACCAAATCTCTCCCCAAGAACCTTGCTAGAATACATAGTCATGTAGTTCTTCCACTGCATTTATAGTATGTCTGAGTCTTCCCTCTAAAACAGTAAAGGAAGTTGGAGAGGATTAACCCTGAAATGCCTTGTCCTGAAGAAGATGCCAGTGTCCCTTCATTGTGGATACAGATGGTGTAATGTGTGGGGTTTGTTCATCAAGAAGTTTGGGGGGAGGGAGGCTCTCTGGGGCTGTCGTTATGTGAAACAATACTCCTTTTTGACTCTGTAACTGTTGTACTCTGTAAGTAATGGGGGGGAGGTCAGTTGTATTGCTGCACAGGATTGTGAGAGAGAAAAGGGGGGCTGGGTGGCTCGAAGTAGTGTCTTGTTGCAACGCTTGAGGGGAGGGGGCTGCGACGGTGAGGAGGCTGGCAGTGGACGCTTCTCGAAGCCTCTGGGAGTTTCTCGAAACTTCCTGAAACTTCTCGGTAATGAGACCCCTGCAACAAAGGGAACCAATGGGGAAGAGCCATGTCAACATCCGAGTGAGGAGGGGCGACAGGATT